CTTGGGTTAAAATATTAAAAACAACAGTACCTTAGAATTTTCTCTAGACAGTCACATGCTTGAGGATAAAACTGTTTTATTCCGTACACTGTTGAAACTTCAAGCTTTGAAATCATTGAGTTAGCTTCTTACAAAATTTTAAACAATATTAAAATGTTTATGCCTTCAAAATAAAAAATTCTTAGAACTAACATTTGCTAACATTTTCTATGTGTATACTGTATGTAGTCGCCAATAAAGTCTGCTTGGCTAAATTTGTGCCTGCGAAACGGAAAGGTACCTTAATTTCTTACTACGACTGGACAATTAATGGCGTTTCAATTCGGATGAAGATTGTAGTCTCTTGGAGATAATTTATTAGAAATTATTATGATCGTAGACTGTAGATGCTCGTCGGTTGTTTCATTTTAATTTTAACTGCGAAAAATGGTTGTTTACGCAAACAAAGCAATTGTTCTTAGTACAAAATCTCGTAACTGAGTATATTTATTTTTTGACAAGTACAAATAAAAATTAATAAAATTATGCATTTTTAAATTTTTGGCTTAGTTTTATATCCCTCTGTAAATTAATTAATTAAATTTATAGATTATGGGACACATTATTCATGTTCGTTTTTAATGGTAATGGAAATAATATAAATTCGGACTTCAAATATCTAAAATCTTGAAATCTTCCCAACAAATTTAAATGGCTACGCGGGCCGGAATCGAAACCACTGCATTAAAACACAGTTAGGGAATTGTAAAAATATCTGATGTGAACACCACATGACTTCCATGTATAGCCTATTAAATTATACACATTTTCTGCTGCATTCCATTTAAACTTATTTCCTCGAATTTCATTACAGATATATTTCTCATTCAGTTAATCCATTTCTCACTTCGTGGCAAAGCAAATATACACAAAAACACAAAACATCTTCATTAAAAATTGAAAAACACCAAGTACAGTTTTTTTTTTCAATTAAAATTAGAGTTTCTACACAAAAACAAGCAATTCGGCCCTCTGGCAAAAAAGGTAGATTTTTCGGTGCACGAAACTGAAAGTTTACTTTTGGTCCCACAAGGCAAAAAGATACTGCAGGTGCACAAAGACTTCATTCACTATGATACTGAATTTCAAATGTAAACAAATGGCGATTTGTTAGGCTTAATTCACCACTTTTAAATTGTTGATAATTCTATAACTATTGCGTACAGATGAACTAAAGGCACAAAAACCTTCACCGGAACATAAAAACCACATATTTCAATCATTTTTAAGCAAAAATTTGCACAATTTACCAATATATAAAAATAAAAAAACTAAGCTCACTGAACCAGGTAACAGACTGGTAATGTATAAACGTATGTTACCGGCAAAGTATGAAATCTGGCATTTCTATAGAATGCCTAGGCATTGTATATAATGCCTAAACCTAGCCAGCAATCTATGACACGATTCATATTTCACACATTTTTTTCCCAGGGATTCTATAGAATGCCAAATGACAATCCGGTAAAGTACAAAATACATTTCCGATTCGTTTCGAAAAACCGAAACTACTTATGGGAAGTTAATAAATTATGCAAAAAGGCCAAAATGACTACTAAAAGGAACCACGGGACTACTGGCCGCCGAATCGCTAGGTTGTGATGTTTGTGGAAAACAAAAGTACGTTCATTTATCCTGTTAAAGAAAGCGTTAGTACTATGCAGTATTGCGTCAAGGACACAGAGTTATTTTCCGTATTTCGTGGAAACTCATTTGAATACTGCACAGGAACTTCGTGACAGAATGGCGAAAGAACTTTCAACTAATTACAAAAACGTTACAGTAAACAACTAACTTCGTGAGCCCTGCCAGAAAAAACAAAATGGTACTAAAAAAAGCACTGATGTGAAACTTATGATTGTTTCTGAATTTAACTTCCGTTATCAGGTAGATCTTAGCTATTCCCTATCTCAGCCTGACAGAAAATACAAATTTATTACGCTGTATCAAGACCACTTCGCTATCTTTTTTTTACGCAGTTCGAAGAACTGTTTTTAATGGAACTCTCTCATTCATTTCTCAAAATAACATTTGTATTTTAGAGGAATGAATGTCTTTTAACTTATCATAACATTTTTTTCATACTTGCCTAAAAGAGCATTTCTCATTCTATAGAATGCCTAGGTATTATATAGAATGTCTAGGTATTATATAGAATGTCTAGGTATTATATAGAATGTCTAGGTATTGTATAGAATGCCTAGGTAAAGTAAGCAATAATTCTCTTATTTCATACTTTCCCTAAAATTGTCCGGCATTATATACACTGCCTAGGCATTCTATAGAACGCCGACGTTTCATACTTTGCCTGTAACATATGTTTATTAGTATAGAAATAGATAATTAATAGAAGGATAGGATATATTATGGGTGCATTCTTCCGGCCGTTCCCTTATATAATTTAATTTTGAATGCTTCTAGGTTACTTCATTCAGATACATTCTACTAACTTTATTTTAGGTTATAATATAATCAATATTACTTTAAGGAATATATATATGTATACGATTAGTGGGGACAATTCTAACGAAAAAGAGAGGTGCACAACTACAGGTTTTAGTAGTCCTATACACAAAACTTCATAAAAAACATTGTTCAAATGATTTCGAGAGCAGTTGGAGTGAATATTTTAGTTGAAATATGATACCTGAAATTTTTCGCGATTACAATACTTCCTTTACTGCGTACTAGCCTACGATAACACGATACCTCAAAGTAATTTCATTCTTACTTGTCCATACAAATATTTCAACTTTGCCAATTGTTTCACTCATAGTTTGAAATTTTTGCTTAGGTGCTAGTGAACACTTTATAAAAGGAATAATAAATAGCATCTTTCCTTTAAATAAACTCATATTCTTAAACCACGTGTCAGGAAAATAAAAATTCTGGTTTTTAAGAAATAACATTAGAACAGAATTTCAATCAGGACTATCCAGAATCTTAGGTATTCCGATAGAAATTTTAGAAATTCAAATGGAAACTCTGATTCTTAGACTAATTATGTGTAAATATATGGCTACCCGTACAAAATGTTACATCAGAGTATAATTTCTACTGTTCCGCATGGTTACGAAAATTTGGAAAAGCTGCTCCGAAGTGAAAAGTACCAGTTTTGGATCACAAGACATCTAAATTTAAATGTGAATTATACCCAAAAATTAACGAAGGTCAATATAATAAAAGAAGGATTATCGCTGTGAGAATTTTTTGATAACGATATTCTGAAGGAAATTCTTCCAGTCAAGAGTACACAGCAGTGATAAAGGGGGAAATAAGAATTTGGCGTATTCTTCTGTTACCGGGTCCGGATTCGGAAATGTATATTTGTATGCACGTGTATACATATGTCACTCAAAATAATACAGTAGTACCTTTCATCCATGGATGATATAGCTATTAAACGTATTTTAGTTACAATGAAATAGGGAACTGAGACTTTTGCTAATGTTCCTTTACTGTTCAACTAAAGACCCGTCTGTTTAGAAGACCCGTCTGTTCAGAAGTTCCGAGTTTGTCTCCATGCAGGGCTTACGATAAATAAATTCCAATCGTTGTTGCTGTTACCAGTCTCAGTTGCCTGACAATGGTCAGCACAAGCCCATGACATTCATCTTGGCAAAGAGTCAAATGCGCATGTCGTTGGGGGGAACCTTGAGTATCATGTATGTGACACCCTGATTTTAGCTCAGTTCCGTTCCCAATTTAGAGAGAGAGAACCAGGGGGGATGACTCCGAGGGTCTCCCACCTTTATTTCCTTACCACCAACCATTCTAATGGACATTCGGCTCGCCGCATATTTTGAGTGCATGCCGCACAGACACAAACATCCATGCCTTCTCCAAGATTCGAACACGGGTCCTTCGGTATCGCAGTCATCAGAATAACTAACCGCTAACCCGTTTGTGCAGCACAAATTCCAATTAAAATGGAATACGTTAGACTTTAATTTGGCATGATCGATTTATATTTAGATTTATTTATTTTCGTCTATTTATTTGGAATGATCGATTGGGGTTTATCTACCTTCCCTCTGGAAGCTTTTTTATCGGGAAAAATGTAAGGTATTAAAAGTGCTTCTTCCATCTACCTTTGAAGTGGTCAATAAGTAATTGGTCAGCAGATCGTTCAAGTAATTCAAAAATCTCGATTTCCACTCCAGGAAGAGCTCTGTTGTTTTTCAACTAATTCTAGCTCTGACTATTTTCTTTTCTGCATAAGGGAAATAAATAGTGAATATTTTGAGCTTACTCCTGTTTCTGAACTTTTCGTCAATTAAATACAGTTTCGCAAACGAAAAAAACCTTCCTTCAAATACCTAATTCTCATTATGCTACATTCTCAGAGTTAATTAGGCAATATTTCATACGTTTACATTTAGTGGCTATAATTTAGCTGCAAGAAGCGTTATATCCAGTAAAAAAAGATACGTCTTCAATAACCTTTAAAATTGTGAAGATTTTAAATACTTTGAAGTACGCTAATTACTGCTTATAATATTTAAATACTACCTAAATAATTAAATATAATGAATTTTATTTTCATAATACCTCTGATGAATCTTAGGGAAACCAATTGTCTTGCTTTCATGGTTGAAATTGTAATTAAAATTCTCTAAATACGCACGGAATAAAATTACTTTCGTGTATAATCATTTATCTTGTAGCGTTCTGAAGACCGTTTACGCATATAATTTGCAAAATTCCAGGACGGCACGCCAGCTTCGACGAATCATCAACGAGCAGTGAAACGTATTTTACCTATAACTGTAACAAAAGGACTCCGGAAAAGGTCTTTTCCTTTTGAAGTATTACAAACCTCACAGCTCTCCATCTTTTATGCTGTTGCATGATTTGCTTTGCATAAAGATAGTGAAAAAGATAATTTTTAATGTTTCCACCGCGCGTGACTAGGCATAATGTGTTTAGAAGGATATAGCGCAATGATTGTTCATTAGTAATGCATTATTTTCCGTGCAGTTAAAAACAAATTACCTCAGATTACGTTGATTTTTGTATTCTTTCTTTTAGAAGCTGGGCCAAGGGACTATAAGACAATTATCAGTAATTCTCATATTCACGCCTTGGAAAATGGATCATTAATGATACGAGAAGCCGAACAAAATGATGCTGGATATTATCTGTGTCAAGCGACAAATGGTATAGGTTCCGGTTTGAGCAAAGTCGTAGAACTTACAGTCCACGGTAAGTGATATATTACAAATTTTGTTCCATTTCCAGTTCCTTTAGTTGCAGTTAATTGTTATTTTCAATCAGGCAAATGAATTAGAAATACTTAATTTGGCAAGGACTTGTCATTCGACTTAGTTTATACAATTAAATATTTTAGCACTTTCAAAAGAAATTCACTTTTATATAAAAGTTGGTGAAATATGTGATTCAAAAGAAAACTATTTGTTCAGATTTATTATAACTTTCACAGATACATATAACGTACATATAACATGGACCAAAAGTAATTAATCTGGGACCAAAGTCATTAATCTAATTAAAAGTAAACCATCGTAAATGTCTGTATCATACGATAATGATAAATGGTTGTATCATAATGTATATATTGTATCATAATGTATTATGATACATCGTAAATTATTGTATCATAATAATTGCATCAAAAGTATCATAAATGATTGAATAATAGAGGATAACAAAATATAAGATTCTGAGTAGCAAAATGAAGTTATTGTTTGAGATCCATTAATACAGAATATAATGGTCTTTGCTGCAAACGCACGCTTGACAGCTTCGATTTATATCAAAAACGACGTCAACGGCGCCCTTGTGCGGTCATATTCTTAACTTGCAAAGATTTCGGGAAGTGCCATTGATAAAAATAAAACTCATTCCAAGTATGTCTTATATTCAAATTTTAAAGATTTTGTAGAGACTATAATTAAGGTTATAAGTACGAACAAAGATAAAATTGCTATATTTGCTAATTCAGAAGTCAAACAACAAAAATCAGCGTTAATTCACAAAATTTTCACAGTTAATTCACAAAATTTCACAGGAGGTTTCGATGGTTTTACCGAACCTCATCAGCTGCAAAACGCAAATGAACAAGAAGGAAATAAGTTTAGATAAGATAAGAAAGCCTGGACAAGAATAAGCAAGTGGCGCATCGGTGCGAAACCAGAACTAAAAATAATTTCTCTAAAAGAGAAGGCAAATTTGGATTGAATTAGGATCGTAACTAGAAAGAAAGATTGTTATGAAGTGAATGCCTCGAAAATCAGTTCCAATGGAAGATGATTTTAATATTTGGCAGCAGAAAATGAAGGTATTTTCGGACCAACAATGTTGAGCAACAGAAGCTTATGTGTTTTTTTTTCTAACATTTTTTCGACGCGAAATTAATTTATAGTTGGCCATTAAAATAAATTCCTGGGGAATTTAAACTTACCCAGGGAATTCATTCCAACTGGGGCTGAAAGAGAAGGGAAAGATGAAGGAAAATGTTAGAAAAAACGAAACACAGAAGTCTTCTGTGCTCAACATGTTGGTCCGAAATCACTTTCAATTTTCTGCTGCCAAAAATTATTCAAAAAACATCTCCATTAGAATGGTTTTCTGGAGGCATTTCACATTCAAAAAATTTTGTTCTAGTTAACGATCTAATTCCAATCCAAAATTGCCTTCGCTTTTAAAGAAATTATGTTTTAGTTTGGTTTCGCCAACAGATGGCGCCACTTGCTTATTCTTGTCAGGCTTTCTTATCTTATCTAATCATTATCCTATCTTGTTCATTTGCGGTTTGCAGCTGAAGATGATGGCGGTAAACATCGAAACTATCCTGTGAAAATTTTGTGAATTACGATGATTTTTGTTGTTTTGATTCGAATAGATATTCGGCGTCGTGTTATGGTCTTTGCTATATTTGCTTGCTTGTTATATTTTCTTGCTATTGATATATATTCTTGCTTGCTATATTTCTTGCTTGATAGTTTCTTGCTTGCTATAGTTTCTTGCTTAATATTGCCATATTTTCTTGCTATTAGAGCCTACTGATATTATACTTTGCTGTTGCTGTTAGAAACGTTATGTGTAAATAAAATTAAGTGTATATTCAATATTTGCTCTCCAGTATTGCTGAATTATATAAGTTCCTTAAAGTTTAGTTTGCAGGCAAATTGTTAAAACAAGGCAAAAGTATTAGAGGGGATGTCAAGGCATTTGCTTTAACTTGTATTCCTGACAGCAATTAATTATTTTTTGCCTCCAAAGAAGAAAAAGTAATTGTTAATTATTCTCATGGAAGTCCTTTTCTTTCCCTTATTTTAAATCAAAAGCAAAAATTATGCATGTCTTAAAATCCAAGAAATTTCTTAATTAGAATAGCTTTTATTTTAGCATAAAATATTTCCCCTTTGATCTTCCTGCCCACGAAATGGCAAATATTTTACAGAGGTCATAAAGGAATTTGGTACAACAAAAATAAATCTAAACTCCGCAAGATTTCCTCACATCCTGGGTTATGGTCAGTATTCTGAGAGTTAATTACATACAAGAGTAATTAAAACATCCATTCTACATTAATTTTTTGTTTTCGAAAAGGAAGTTAAAAGAGCTTAGAAGGAAAACAAAAGTCTTGATAAAAGCTGAAGTCCTAGAAAATCTTTTTGAGAAAAAACTACTTTGAAATGCCGAAAAAAATAGAAAGCGTATGACTTTAAATAACCCATACGGTAGAAGATGTAGTAAAAGAAGATGTAGAAGATGCAGGGTAAATTCCGTCTGGATAAAAGATTTTAAAAATATTTCATAAACACACATTTCCACTATTCCTTATTACACTTCTTTGCATTCATTTGTTTCCTAAGTATATTTTTTGCTGACAGAGTTTTCTTTTAATTTTCCTGTCATATCAGTCACCATTTCCTGTCTTATGTGCTTTTAATTTTCTTGTCATATCAGTACCTCGCCGCTTTAGTTTTGAATATGGAATATCATACTTCTGTTAAAGATTTCCAGCAAAATATGTTGCTTTACTTGACCATTCTGATAAGAGTGAGATAAAATTTTGCATCGTAAACCAGAATATAAATCAGGCGGTTGGTTGGCTTTGATTTTAAAGTTCTTATAGAGAATTAATCTTAAAAAATCTAATTGCATCTGTTCTTTAACCCTTTGCAGCACAGTGTGTCCGGTCTGAACACACCTAAAATTTCCTTCTGTACGCACAGAAAAATGATGAAAAAGGATTAATATGTTACTCCGAACGTCTTATTTTAAATGCATCTTTGGTTTTCCGCATCTCATCGGTCAGTTCATTGATAACAATGCTCGTTTCAGCACTCTTTTCGAACCTCTATTCAATCAGTGTCCCCAATTTGGGCACACCCACAGAATTAAACGATAAGTTCTATCTTCACAATATTTTACTTGTTCTTACTTATTCTTACTAGGCCTAATTAAACCTCTAGGCGTTTTTTTTTTATCAAAACTCCAACTTTCAAAGGTAGCTTGCCGGATAGGGTTTATGTTATATGAACAGTTTTAGTATACTATACTATTTTAGAGAGTGAATAATCAGATCCGAACTGGCAAAACAATTTTGAACTCTTGAACTAGCAACTATGGTAGACAGATAAATAAGAAAGGTCGAATAACTTTACTAATATCTAGTTTTAATAGTTCCTCAAAATTATTTATTATGTTTACAAATGTTGTAGATCAAACCTCATTCTGATAGCCTAAAATTGATAAAATTTGAGAAACTTAATAAAATAGGAACATGGAAACATGACCTTAGGAAACTCTTAAGTAGCAAATCACATTACACACAATAAGGAGTCGTTTTCAAACATTTCAGATTAAAAGTATACGTGAACTTGCCCTAAACTTTCATGTCTTTATTATATTCTATGAGACACAAAAAATCACAAAGTAAATAACCCTGCTTTTCTCGTCAAATATCATCAGACCTATAAAAGAGGATCCTAGAGATGTATGAAATAGTAAAATCCAGAGGCTTACCAAAATTTATGAGGATGATAGAAGTACAGAAGGCCAAGGAGAAGAGAATCTCAGACCAGTTTTTCACTTAAGATTGCATAATTTATAATGCTCGAACCCCTGGTTACAGCCTAAAACATCGCAGAGAAAACAACGCAAGGCGAAAACGTTGCCGTGGAGAAAAACATCGCAAGAGTTCTAAAACATCGTGGTCAAAAATCTCGTCGAAAATAAACCAAAAACTTCGCGTAACACATGTCGTCGAAAATATAGTGGTAAAAAAAATAAATATCTACAAATCATCGCTGACGATAACATCGCAGACATGCTTTTTCAGGTTAATAACTGTAATGGATATCCCATATGATTTGTGAGCGCAAGAGGGAAGAAGGATAATTTTTACTTCATTTTTATTAATACATTTTGCTGAGAAAAAAAGGAAACTAAGCATAGAAAAATTAAACTTATAGCATTAATAGAATTTTTAAATCGACATAGTTAAACTAACCCGATTAAAATCATTTTTTATAAAAGTTTTTAGTTTTTCAAAAATATATCTATTAAGTTGCTTTTAATTTTCTATGCTTAAGTTCCTTCTTAATTTTTCAGCAAAAAATTTTATTAGTTAATAAAAAATGTTGAAAATAAAAATTATCCTTCTTACATCTTGCGCTCAAAATCATTAGGGAATATCCATTTACATTATTAAAGCTGAAAAAAGCATGTCTGCGAGTTATCGTCATGCGATGATTAATATACTTATTTTTTACCACGATATTTTCGACGGCGATATTTTTAAACTGCGAAGTTTTTGAACCGCTTTAATTTCGACGACGAAAAACGATCGCAAAGAGGAGGAAAGGCATCGCAAATTTAGTTCTAGTAAAACATCGTGGTAACCAAACATTTTCGGAATCGTAGGGGAAAGATCTGAGCATTTGAAAATTAGAAATTCCTTTTAAAATTATGGTTTAATAATGAAAAGCGGTTTTAAATCTCAAATGGCTCAGAGGAAAGAAACATGTAATCGGAACTCATTAGCTATGGTTTAAGGTTTCAAACACTTTGACAAGTTGTGTTTGAAGCGTTAAACAGAGGAGATTAATGAAAAAAATTTCGGGCATAATTATTTTTCGGTGTGTTTTGTTGTGTCTCATGTTCTGTAATTTTTAAATTTTTTGAAATTTTCTAATTTTCTTTTAACGATTCCGTTTTTGAACGTTTCCTTCATTAGCGGTTATTCAATTCGGTTAACATTTTCCCAGAGAGGGAAATAGTTAGATCGTAATGTTTTTGGAACAGAATTTTTATTTAACTTTCGTTCCAACTTTTACCTTTTAATTTACTGTCATTAAATATATATGTGTGTGTGTATGTGTATCAAAAACAAAAAAATATTGGATTCGTAAGATTACAGAGAAAATCGCAAACTGATTTTGGCGTGCAGATCTCATTTTAAGTCCTGAAACATTTTTAGCCTGAATAGTTACCACATGCCTATAGTTTAAGATTATTATCCCAGAAGTAACTATTAAATATAGAAAAACTGAATGGCAAAATTTCTAGAATATTTTTTCATCGTAAATTAATGCTACATGTAGATCTTACATTTGTTTAATAAAGAAAATACTTAATTACTTAAACCATAGCTGTCCACTTATTTCGCTGTATTGTTCGCGTATGAGGGCTTCAACAAAAATTCTCTCAAAATTCAGTATTTTCTATCTTGCAAGAACAATAAACGTGCCAACTGGAAAGAACAACTTAAAATGCTTTCCACAAAGGTGGTTAATAATACTGAAGTAGAGTATTAAGTATCTAATGCATGATTATAATTCGAAATTACCGAAAAAGAAGCTCATATAAAAAGAAAAGCGAAGGACGTTTAACCGTCCAAATGAAAGTTCTCGTCTTATAGTGAGTAAGGATCGTCAACAGGTATAGTGGTAAGCGTCGCTGAATCGTCTGAAGCGTCGCTGAATCGTCTCTCCGCCCAACAGGTACAGTAATAAGCGTTGCTGAATATCGTACCGAAGGGGACAAGTTCTAGTCCCGGAGAAAAAATGGATGTTTGTAAATGTATAGTGTCCGTGTATGGGAGCACTCTAAACATGCGGCGAACCGAAAGTCCTCTGGAGTGGTTGGTGGTAGGGGAAGAAAGGTGGGAGATCCTCGGACCCGTACCCCAGGGGTGCTCTCCATCTGGAGGCGGAAATGAGATAGTGGCACTGTCACCTGTAAGGTGCTCAAGGTTGTTGCCAACGACAGGCATAATCTTGCACTCCTTGCCACGAGGAATTTCGTGGGCTTGATCTGACTATGGGTCAGACAAGTTAGCATTAGTAACAACAACATTAACGCGAAAGTTATCTTTCGGCTTTAGAAAAATATGAGAATTAAACAAATCTACTATTTTACTTTTAGAAATTTTCAATTAATCATTTATCCTACTAATGAAACTTATTTTTTTTAGTGGCTGCCTATTTCAAAGGAAAGTTTGTGGCCCAGACTCTGAAAAAGGGAGAAAGTGCAGTCTTACACTGTGAAGCATTTGGCGAACTTCCTATAACCATTTTGTGGAGTAAGGATCGTCAACCTTTTGATCCTGCAACTGATCCACGGTAAAAATATGAGTTCTTTTTCCTATCGAAAATGCAATGGAATAATCCATGACAAAGCCAATATTTTCTTTCTTTGAATTTGAAGGAGCTTGTCGGCTCAAAAGCTAGGAAACGTATTATTTGTGAGGAAAATAAAATAAAAATATCCCATTTCTTTGTGCTCAAAAAAGCTTTAGGGAATAAAATCGAAGACTGTGCTTCCTACATTCTTCTAAATTTAGAACTCAAACAATTTCTTGTAGACTCTTCATAAAAGAATACAGATATTTTATATTCGAGAAGTCTTTTCTAAAATAAATGCATTAAAACAAAATTTTTTATGAGAAATAATATTATTACTGTTGTAGTATTTAATGGATTGTAAATATTATACTAGTTTATTGTTTTAATAAGGGAAATAATATTACCTTAATGCACGTCGTTAAAAAATGGAGAGTATTTTAATGGAAATTGTTATTAATATATTGCTGTATTGTATATGCAATACTGTATCGTATACGCAGTGTGATTCCAAAGTCAAAGAAAATTTTGTGTTTCCTGAGATTTTTTATGCTCTATCAATTTACAAATCTAAAATAGCATATTTTAAAATATTTTACTATAATAGACAATGTCTTATTTGCAACTAAATTAAAAAAGAACCAGTTAAGCCAGAACATGATGAATCCTATAGAAGTATTTATGAACAGTTATTTTAATGCTCTCTAGAAAATACCCCATAGTTATTACTTGCACGTTCTCTTGTACTGTTGATATAAATAAGATTCCTTGAAAATGTAAATAAGACATTATCCTTTAGTTTTGAGGAAAAACTTTTCTAAAAACCACTTGTCTATATTATTGTTTTCTTCAGTCTCTAAAAAAGCATTTTCCATAACCCTTGTAAAGTTATTAACTTACTTTAAAGTGATTACTTACAAGACGTGGGAATTAGGAGACCCAATCGCCGAATCTTTGTGGGGAGGAAATCATTTGCCACCTTTTAGTTTGGGCGCTAGTGCAGAGTCATAAAGTTACATTGAAGCAAGAGACGTGAAAAATGTGCATTGTCCTCGCCAGGACTCAAATCCTGGACCTCTACGCGCCAGTTATGCTTCCCATTACACCACGAAGGCATACGGAAAGGTAGGACGAAATGCCTTATAGAGTCATTAGGTTATTTTAAAGCAGTAGTGATGATAAATGAGCAACGCCCTCGCCGGGACTCGAACCACGGACCTCTGGAATACCGGCCCAGCGTGCAGACCACTATACTACAAAGACGTGCTAAAAAGGAAGAAATATTTTACATACTCCCCCTTTTAAAGAGCAACTGGAGTTTCAAGGGACCCAATCGCCAAATTGTGGGTGTGGAAAATCATCATCCACCACCCTTTTAGTTCGGGCGCCATTGTAGAGTCATTAGGTTATTTTTAAAACAATATTGAAAAATGAACAACGTGCTCGCCAGGAATCGAACCACGGACCTCTGGATACGCGCCCAGCGTGCTGACCACTACACTACGAAGGCGTGCTAAGAAGGCGGGAGAAATACCTTATAGCCTTATACCCTTATCTTTGAGCTAATGAATAAAATATACGTGTCTGAGCATGTATGCAATGTTAATGGAATGCATTGAAATCATTGAGTTTGTTAATAAAATTTTTTTTAGTTTTGCAAAATATGAAATGGGTAATAAAACAAACTCCAAATTCCGGCTTCCAGACGGCCAAATTTGAGTGAAGGATACGTTATTCAAAGTTTGATGTCCCTAGGTACCGTTGTTTTATCACAATGCGAGAAACATACACACTAATGCAGATTCTTCATTATATAATTTCTTTAAATATAATGCAAGGCCGTAATATTTGGTAGCAACAGTTTGAAAAGTGATTCAGACTCTTATAGTGAGCCAACGCAAAATGTTAAAATGAAATCAATAGCCCTTCTGGGCTAACGCCCTTTGGGCTAAAAAAATCTGAAAGGTCTCATTTTATATTACACGCAAAGGGAAGTATTTTCGCAAACAAACGCAAGTATTTTCATTTACATAAACCTTTCGAGATCCATTTTCGAGAGCATTTTATCTAACGCCCTTTGGGCTAAAAATATTTCGGAACAGCATACCTTAACATAACTGTTGGTTGATTGTATTATGAAAGAGAAATACTTGAATTTCCAATTTATGTCATTAAGAATTTAATATTTTCTTTTCTTTCTTGCATTCTGTACACCTTGCACAAAAAAAGGGAGCACAGTTTTATATCTCTCGTTGTACTGGGCCGATTGTCGAAATTTAACTTGCGTTTTCCACGTCTCGAAAGCGCGACTTAGGATACGTATTAGATTTATATATAGCACTGTTCTAACATAGGTATTTTGACACGAAATCGGACTTTTTGTGAAATAACATACCAACTTTTTTCCCACATTTTGATTCTGCGATACAAATTATGACTAGACTTATACGACACTTATACGAACATCTTAATTTATGGCAACATTTCTCAATTTCCCTCTTGGCATTGTGCACGACGGAAGAAAAGTGCATTCTTTCAAATAATTTTAGCAAAGTGCGTAAGCCACATTTGGCGTTATTATCCCTTAATCAAATATGACACACTTCAAAATGTAAATTCACGTATATCTTAGGAAATTTTGAATAAAAGTGCTGTAATTTTTTGCAGTTATGCTTGGGAATGCATCTTCTTTAAAATCATGGTAAAAATGTTTAAGTAATAATTCAAAATGTTTTTCGAAACATATATAAAAATTATTTAAAAATACAAATTTAAAAAAATGGGCGAATTTTATTTGGAATGAACATAAATTTCGAAATGGAAAGAAGATATATAAGATTCTATATAATTATAAAGAGATAATAACAAATACATACCAAATTCATGTAACCATGAGGAGCTAAATTTTAAGAGCTAATGTTTAAAACTACTGCGATTTTTCAAATCGCTTTGGCATAATTTGAGTCTGAATCAAATGGAAAGCATTGGTATATTATTTCAGAAAAGTTCGATTTTGTGTCAAAATACCTAATTTAGAACAATGCTATATATAAATCTAATATATATCCTAAGTTGCGCTTTCGAGACATAGAAAATGCAAGTTAAATTTCGACAATCGGTCCAATAGAACTGAAGCTGCAGATCTTTCTCAGTTTTTTCGTGCAAGCTTTATATCCTAAGATAAATGAAACGGCATTTAGTTATTTACTTCATGGATATTAAAAGGCATACGATTATTTACTACATCCTGTCAAAAATTCTGTTAAAGTGCTTGGTGGCTGTAGGAAAATCATAATTTATACCTACTGACGTAGAGAAATACGTGACATATAATGTGTTAGTTTAGTTAGGTTTTCCTGTCATATGATATTAATGTCGCTGCAGTTTATAGCGTCATACATCAAAAGTTAATCTACGTTAAACGTACCAGCCTTAGAAAAGGTGTGACAGTTAAATTAGTGAATGTTACTTCAATGGATTAACGTTATAGTCATCGTTTAATTTTACACATAACGAAAGGCAACAAATGTAATGCCAAAAGGTTATATGAAACTATAAATCGCTTGATTCATTTTTGGTTCCTCGGTTTTCTGAAGATTGATTTATTATTAATTATTTGGCTTTAAATTATATTTCCTTTTAAAATTTGTAATGTGATGCAAATATTTTGCATGTCGTGACAGAACTTTCGTTTTTATTAGAATTTTTTCCCTTCAAACAGTGCCGTAAGTTACTATTTATTTAGTTTAATTAACAACAGAAATTGTTAGAAATGCTAATGAAGTAGCATATTTCAAAATGCGAAAATAATTTTGTATTTGCTATTAAAATAACATTTCTCTGCGTAATTCTGGTCAAATCTTAAAACTGCAAAATTTTGAGAAAAATAAAAGTAATTATTTTATAAATGCACATCCAACCGTATTCCATTTGAAAAACGTTTCATTGTGTTGATTGTTTCTGTTCTGGATATTTTGCACACACATTCTTTTAAGTTTCACCTGAAAAGCAAGGCGTACGAATCATTTTTTTAAAAACTTTATAACATCTTGTGTGTTTGGCTATCATAAAATGTATTCGACCTTGAAGGTTATTTGGTCGTGGACTATCCTCAAGTCCTTAAGGTACAACAAAGTCAGAAGAAGGTTGTAAAGAATCCTTTATTTACTCAGATAAAGATCACAGATGGCAACAACTTGTGCTTACAGAAAGCAAACACTTTTGTCTCACACAAAGGTTAATTAATAACTTAAAATTAAATGAAATTAAGGTAGCTTAACGACTTCATAAGTTAACTATAGTCGTAGATTAACTATCTTCATATGTTAACCATTTTTATAGGTTAACTGTCTTCATAGTCGGCGTAAACAAGCCTAATGGGAAGAATAGCTCGACGCCTCACAAAACTAATGCTTAGAAAATGAAAGATAGCAGCGTGGTTTTCAGGCAGGCAGAGCACGCTCTGATTTCCCAATTCCAAAACCTTCCCTTAAATACTAATTTCTTACTACCTCGTTTAAATATACGCAAGCTAGTCCATGTGCCTTCTGACAAGAAAGTGTCAGCTGAAAGCAAGTGTGATAAGAATGGCTGCTTAAACATAAAATAAGTGTTAAGTAAATTTAAATCTCCACAACGTGTTTTAACATCTGAAGTGAAATCTTAAAAAAAAAATTATTTTGGAAATTTGATACATAATTCAAGAGGTTACCTTTCTTTATGAAGATAATTTTAAGCTTTCTTCTCGCTTGAAGTTAATTTGCAGGTTCTACCTCTGGAATAGTGTACCTTGGGATCTAACCGTTGTCTAAATGTGCAAAATACAGAAGAACAGAAATCGACCCTTAAAATGAGTAATTCTTAGACATACCAAATTGAAGTAGAAAACGACACTCTGCAAGGAATGTATTCATTAATACTTCTAATCAAGGTTCTGCAACTTCAGACTTTCTAACTTCCAGAGGGGGAAAAAAAGTTTATTCAGTTAATTTAAAATTTTATTCAACTAAAAAAATGTTTGAATTAAAACTTTGTTAGTGTGTATTTGGGTTGACGATCTGGTCCGATATTATGCCTTCATAGAAGTTTATCTGAGTAGCTATTTCGTTAGAATGATGATTTATTCTTGTGTTTATTACTTTGTATCATCTTTGTTCCACTCTTACTCGCTTAACTGGTATTTTAAAAAGCCGTATCTAAGAAATAAATAAGACTATTTGCTGCAAAACTGAAACACTCGGCAGGAGAATAAAGAGATTCTGATTGTGTCCTAGAGACCGATACACTAATAAATGGCGGTCGATTCGTAACATGCGGGATCTTAGGCGTCCCACCTATATAAAGTGTTTGAGGTCGTTCAAAAGGTCAACTCAGTGCACATATCGTAAGAAGCTCACAAGCGGCCGAACGGTAAAATCGATGAACACTGGTAGTTCGGTCAGTGATTCGAATCCAATCCATTCCCTGGAGTGTTCGAATGAAATGGCGAACATGAGTCGGCGAATGGATTGGTTGAATGGGTGTTTCAGTGGTTTTCCCCATGTGTAACTTGTATACGAGCCAGTTTCCCTTAAAACGTCCTTCACGAAGGTATCCCTATTCTTAGGCAAATAGCCCTTGAGTATGCCATAAACCAAACAAACCATTTTTTATTACAAAGAATCCAGACAGAGAAACGAAACTACAAATTCTTAAACATGCACATATATTTTAAAAGCACTTCGAAGGCAACACTTTTAAAATGTTTTTCGCTTCCATTTCGCGTCTGTTTTGTGTCCGGAAAATATACCTCTTCGAAGAAGTACGTACCGAAAACGAATGTGCTGGTGATGCCGCACCACAGAATCATTTTAGTTTCGTGTAAGAAGAAGAAGAAGATTAGGGCATTCCCCGTATCGAGAACTCAATCTCATTCCGGGTCCACTCCCCCATTGGGCACATCGTGGTGGTTCAACCTCCACTATTACCCTCCAGGAGAGCAGCGCACCACCTGGGGAAGGACCCCAGGCAGCACCGGTCGTCTAATGCTCCTACCAGGCGAGCCCGTCGCAGCGGGACATTACCCAGCGACCCCGGGGGGAAACCCCGGCATTCATTCGGCATGCATTCGTTACTAGAACCACGCCGCGCTACGACGTGCCAGACTCCGGGACCGGCCAATAAGTGACCTTTCCCAGAGCCTTCAGAACCACCAAGTTCATAAATTTTATACCCCCGTGGCCGAGACTGCCTAGGTACAGATCCTAGCCAGTAGCTTCGCAGAATTCTCTACGTCGACCCCCGGGGGGGTTAGTTTCGTGTAAAAGCGCTGATGCCACATCGCGAGGATTTTCGTCAGTCCAGTGAACTCGTTCCTAGAGTTTACGTTCCCAATGAAGGAATCCGCGGCGGCTACTTATCTGATGAGGCATGATGATGACCTCCTTTTCGCAAATATTTTCCGCTGGCAATTTTCGTTATATTTGTATAGTTACAACACCATTTATGGTTTCTCAATGAACAGGAAAATAGTTTTGCTCAGGATAAAAGCGGGTACTGACATTCAAAATTTTCGAGATTTTTTCACTGTAACCGTAACCGAGAGAGCTCTGTTATTTTAAATCATCGCTATCTCTAACGTATGACTTTAAATAACAATATCTGAAATTTCAATTCAATTGATTGATCAGATAAACCGCTAGGGATTCATATATCTGGAAAGTTTTTTTTATCACCCCCCTGTATTGCATCTGCTCATAATAGTTTGCAAATTAAGGTAAAATGAAATCTATTTAACATATACTATATGCCTGTAGCAACGCTCGATAACATTATTTTCAGTTTGAGTAGTATTTGCGAAGATTTCGCGATTAAAACTATTCGTTAAATTTCCCAAAGTATATATATGGAAGAAAAAGGATATGTAAAATATTAAATTTAGCAGCGTAAATTAATTTCCCTTCTCTGTTCTAAAAATAGTAACCTCTCTCTGCACTGCTTCATTTCGAGAAAAATCTATGTCATATGACTCTTGCATAATTCTGATGATGCAAGAGGAACTAAAACTCTTAACAGCCAATAACAAATTTACAGCAATATTAACCATCCAATCAGAATGCTTTAAAAACCAAAACTAACTCAGTATGACTTGAGATTTCATCCTGAACATTACGCATTTGCTTTCCACGCTTTGGCCTAGCTACACTGCGGTCTGTCTTCTCTGCTTTCTTGCTACAAAATTATCAAAAATGTAAGCCTTTTGGAACAGGCGCATTTAATGTGCTGACTTGTGTGTAGCCGCAACATGTTGCCGAAAATAAAACTGTAGATCTCCAAATTCTGCTTGCCATTACTTCTAAGTTTGTTCCTGCTTTTGAATATATTACATATATACACCAAGTCCGCAACAATCATTATCTGGCCTTTATTTTTGCACCCGTTAGTTGTAGTCATATACTTCCAGTTACAAAAATGAATACAAGTCGATTCAGCGTCCATCTATTTTAGTAACTGTTGATTATCCATTATTGTTGTTCATCGGAATATTTATTCAGTGAAATTTGGAGGGTTTTCTATACAGAGTGTCTCATCAAAACACCCGAAACAGCCCATCCAGTTTTCTCGCTTGGAATACATAAAAATTGGCCAAAGAACTGCACCTTTACGGTCCATTGTATTCGATATAAATGCGAAAGAAAAGTTTGAAGTCATAATCCGGTACAAGGAAAGAAGCCTTTATTGGAAACATGAATATCGGTATTTGCATATTTTTACTTAAGAAGATGTTCAGAACATTCACCGCGCATATCGAGGCATGCATACGTTCGCCGTGGTATAGCTGATAGCACACATTGCAGCAGCGCGGTGTTCACCAAAGTACATGCAGCGTGAAAATCAGCAACTAAATCACATTCTGTAGAAACTAGGTCTCAACAAACCAATTCCTTTAGATGTCTCCATAGGTAAAATCCAAAGGTATCACATCTGGTTATCGTGGCGAACATAAAACAGGATCTCCACGTCCAGTCCAACGGCCTATTCAATCTATATCCAACCAACCAGGTACTGCGCGCTGAAATGCGCCGGAACTCCATCATACTGAGCGCCGCCTGAAATAACCACTGACCTGACTTTGTTGTAAAAGTCTTACAGCGTTAATAGTCATCCTGGCAGAAGGGCTCCATCATGCTGGAACCATAGGAGGATGCCCAGAAATTCCGAGATGGGAAGTGCATTCCAACCGAAGAAGAGCTTTCAAACTGCGATGACTGCCTGGAAAGTGGTGGAGTCACATTCGACAATCCAGCATACTCTTTTAGGGGTACGTTCTTTAAGTTTAAACAAAGGTCGGATTCCATTTTTTGTATATGAGCAGCTGCACTTAATTCAGCTATCAAATCGTCAGATGAAAGATCTCCAGGAACGTTTCGAATCACACACCTGGGCTTACGACGCTGGCGACGTGTTACAGCAATGTCCAGATTTGTATCTTGAAGTTTATGTTCAAGGCGAGAAATGTCAGATGGAGATCGACAAAAGACTTCTAAACCACCTTGAGGAAGAGAAGAAATACGTTGGACAGCAACTTGAAGCTTATTAAGCGGTGCGTGAACCTGTAGGTCCTGACGCAGTTGAGCAGCTGTTTTCTTTGATTTGGATTTTATTATAATGCTAGGTGTACTGGCTGTCGAACCACTTCTGCAAAAGTAAAAGGTGATTGGGCTGAAGAGACAGCAGATTATGCAGGTGCTACAGTCGAGGCAGAAGCCAAAGATTTAACAGGCGTGAGAACAGTGGAATCGTGTGTAGTTGCAATAGGCAGAGGTTGTTGATGCAGAAGTTCACAACACACCAAAGTAGAAGTATTTACTTCCGCGTCAGCTGTAGTCGGCGGAGGTATGTAATCCGGACCCTGTAAGGCAAGCTCTTTGAGAGCTTCTAAAGACCGGGTCAATTTATCTTGGCTGCTCTGGATCTTGGGGGGCGCGGTGCTGAACTGATTCACCAGATTAATTATGATAAAGGTACAGTGCTCGCGTCTTCCGTCAATGCAATGCAATGCAATGGAACCATAGGAGACGTGATGACGTTACACTTTTCTTTCGCATTTGTCTCGAAAATGGGAGTTGTATACAGTTCTTTGGGCGTTTTTATGTATTTTAAGAGTGGAATCCCGTCGTACAGAGTTTGGGCGGTCTTGAGGGGACACCCTGTTTAGCTATGGAAAAGATGCAAGTAATATAATATTCCAATATAAAATATAAAATTCGCAAAAACGCCAAATGAAAACCGATTTATGCTTTTTTTTTAACATGCAACATTCTTTTCACATCAAAAGAAATTTTGGCGTATTCACTTTCCTCTTCAAATTTACATTCGATCTTGCGTAAATATTAATACTTGTAAATGACCATCTGCTGCAGGTTCTTACTTGCATATGAGAGTTCCGAGTATTGTCGTTCATCAGTAATTTAATAGCACATTTACAATACATTAAAATTTAAAATTATTATTTATTCAAGTATGTTCTGAAAATCGCTTTCTGATTGAGAAACCTTTTTTGAAATTTCCCAAATTAATTAATTGAGAAATCGTGATAATATTAAGTAATAATATCTTTGCACCTCTGAATGCATATAATGAACACTTATTAGAATTTTGGCTACTTTCTTCTTTTCAATATAGGTACGAGGTAACCACAGAAAGCAAGTCTGACAGCGCTATTTCTAAAGTCGCCATTCATGCTGTTGATCGCAGGGATTCCGCACTTTTTACATGTGTAGGAAGCAACGCTTATGGTCAAGATGACACAAATATACAGCTCATTGTACAAGGTAATAGAAAGAAGTAATTTAAGAATATTTTTAAATTAAAGATGTATGATTTTTGTTATTTATATTTCTTAATATGAACGTTTAGATTTTACGTCAGTGTACATTTGTCAGCAAGGAATTTATGAAATTTGTAGGTGAGTTAAATCTTACATACACATTTTAATATTTCTTCAGAAATCTAATGTGGTTATATTTCTTATGTAACTCTGAAGGGGATTTAGTACCAGACAGTATCATGAACACTTAAGGATAATAGCATTAACTTTCTAATCTAATATCACTATCAGCAATGCAAGAGTTACTAAGGTTTACAGGCATTCCAATAAAAAAAATAATGTAAAATGCAATCGAATCATTAATGCGAGCAGAAATTAATTTGCGTCAAATCACAACGGCATTATTGAAAATGATATGATGTATATACTTCTGCACTTTAGAAGAAATCCACTAATTCTGAACATTTAAAATTTTACTTTCAGTTAAATGTTTTTACTATTAATATTATTATTTGTTAAATACTTTCATTTTCTCTCATAAGCAAATGTTTTCAGTACTTTATTTTCCTACAGTAAGAACATTTCGAATATTTCTGTGATGCATAAAATGGTATGTAAAGTTTTGATACCCAAAATATAATAGTAACTGTGCTCTTTAGCTAGTTATTACAGTTAAACTGGACGTTATAAATTGCTATTACTAATCGACATTCTACAGAAAATACAATTTCAGTGGGTGCGAATTTAACATAGAATCATCGACAGACATTTACTATTTTGCATTTGTATTACTAGCCATAAAAAACATGAGAAAGTCGAAGAGATACATAAATACAGTTCAGATTTGTGTATAATTTTTATCGGAATTTGTGCTAAATTATTCAGTACTTGTGATGCTGCCGAAAGTACAATTATAGTGTTTAGCAAGGTAAATTTAGTTTTGTAAAGGAATTGTTGACTAATGTACCGTATATTGTTAGTTTAACCAGTTGCAGAAACTAAAATGAGCTCCACTTTCACCCTGCAAGTATTATTCCTGTTTAGGGCTACACTGAGGAGAATACATGAAACAGTGACATCATACTGAATTTTCGAAATTTCTCCCAACTCCAAAGAGCTTATAATCCTTGCACGACGAAGATCTTTAGTCATCCTTCAGCACTCTTATAATGAGATCATATCATAGCAGTGGAATTACACCGTAAAGAGCAATTGCAATATACTGTAATAAAAAGATACTTAATAACTTAATAGGCTATATCTGCTACTTCAAGATGGACAACCAACGCAAGAATTTTTCAGACGTACCAGGATAAACATATTGCTTTTGTTGATTTTCTAATCTGAAACACATCATATCCACCAGTTCATCCCAGTTAAGAGGAGGGATGGAGCACCTCTCATTTAAGGCATCTTATTAATGAATAATAATTGTTCCTTCTCAGTTTCAATCGAAATTTCGCCAATCTATCGACAGAAAGTTTATCTCGACGGATTTTAAGTGCCCCATTTCTCAAAGACTTTTGCATTTACAAGCAACAGTCCTTGTCCGCAAATGGAACCCAACAGGAACGATATTGCAGTGACCTCCGCTACTCGCAGTACCGAACAGGACGGCAGGGAAGACTTGCATAATATTACTTAAAAAAACAAAATAAAATAAAAAATTCTTATTCTTCGAAACATTTCATCAATTTGTTTTTAATTCTTTCATAGTTAGCTGTTTTTTCTCAGAAAATATCCTTAATAAGGATTCAGCATTAAGTATTTAAAAATAATGAAAAGAGAATGTTTTCGACCGCTACGTGAATGTCCTGATTCATGCTGGCAGAAATTTACTGTAGGCAAAAGAATTTATTTTCCTTGATCGTGTACATTTTGAACCCTCCATGGCATTGGAACAACATTTTGATTTTTTGATTACTCGATGAATCAAGCATTTAAATTATAATGTTGCTCTAAAATTGGTTTAGTGCAATGCCTCCATTTTTGCATCTTTTAGTATGTCAAGTATTATCAGAAATAAAATGCAGATTTATCCACCACAGTAAAAAATGTCTGTGCTCTGCTTTTGGATAGACACTTTGTTCTCTGATATTTAATAAATATTTTTAGGTTAAACGGACTTCCCTTTTCTTGCCTCTTTTAGAAGGAAAAGGATTTGTTTGGTTTGTGAGATTATGCAAAGCTCACTAGGACCATCTGCCTAAGGGGAGGGATGCCTTCGTGGAGGACCTTTCTAATGGAAACTGGCTTTGTATACCTGGGGAAAACCACAAGAAAGGACAGGAATCCAAGAAGTATTAAGTTAGAAAACTGGCCCTTAATATTTAAAATATTTTAGAAGCAACACTTAAATAAAAGGAATGTAAAAAAAAGTTAACAGTGGATTAAAACTTCTTATTTACTGACAAAAAGAAACAAATCAAGTTACAGAAAATCTGAAAATGTGAATTCTACATTTCGCGATGTATATTGGAAAGTATTATTCTGCAAACAAACAATAATTTAAACAACAGTAATGCAGCATTTAAAAGCATTAAACATAAAATCCGTGCTCATACTTACGGAACTAACTAGATATGAGTTTAGGCATCAACTAAATAGATAAAACACTCATTTGTTTCAGCAGAAAAGGATTATAGGAAGCAGTGATTATTTCCTAATTAAATATTTATTTAGTTCACTGTGAAATTCAAAAGAATGTAATAAAAATGTTATGTTTAAAACATTGTGTTAACTTTTTATCTAAAAAGCTTCAAACAATTTTGAAGATAAATGTAATGATATCTACGAAACAGTAAATATTATTTCTTATTTTAAGTCTGTTTCTTTTTACAGTCAGTTGAATAATTTCATTTTATAAAGATAGAAACTGAAAAATTTTATTTATTGAAGTTTTAAGGAAATATCACTCATTAATAATCTCTGTGATAATTGCTCTCGTTGTTAATTTATTTTTTCGCTCAACTTATTTAATTTCTCATTATCTATCTTTTTCAATTTCTATTTCACCTTCTCATTAGTGGTAATCTCATTAGTACTAAATATTAAGATTCTTCTAGTTCTAAATACTGCAGAACGTAACAATATTAAGTACAGCAATATGCACTATGTAAAATATATAAAACTTTGTTAAGTACTCATAGATTCGTAATGGATTGCATGCACATGGTACCGATGAAATGTTTTTTTTTAATTAATGAAATTTAGTTTACAAAATAAAAGTTCTGTGAAACTGAAATAACATGCGAGGGGAGATGGTAAGTTTTAATATGAAATTTTAAAGCTAAACAAATGTATTCGAAATTAGTACATTAGTTAATCATATTTAATTGAATGCTTGAATATCACATTCAAAGTTTTCTCCTTCTAAATACCAACGAAGAAACTTCGTTAATATGTGTGTGTGTGTGTGTGTGATTATGGCAAAGCCTCGAGGGCTATCTGCCTAAGGGGAGGGATGCCTTCGTGGAGGACTTTCTAAGGGAAACTGGCTCGTATACACGTTACACATGGGGAAAACCACGAAAGCGCCCATGCAGCCAGCCCGTTCGCAGGATTCGAACCTCAGACCGAACTACCAGTGTTCAGCGACTTTACCGCTCGGCCGCTGGTGAGCCCCCCTTCGTTAATATGAATAACGTTATAATAGCAGTCACTGACGGCATTCATATTTGCTGTGATTGCAAAACAGAGAATGATGTAATTATATTTGTAGAGTCATTAGGTTAATTGGAAGTAAAAAAGATGAAAAAATATGCAACCGCCTTCTCCGAAAATCGAACCACGGACCTCTGGAATACCGGCCCAGCGTGCTACCGTTACACCACGAAGGTACGCTAGGGAAGTAAAAGAAATACCTTATATACTCCCCTTTTTAAAGGGCGACTAGGGTTTTAGGGCACCTAGTCGCCAAATCCTGAGCGCGGAGAATCATCATCCACAACCCTTTTAGTTCGGGGGCCACTTGTAGAGACATTAGGTATTTTTTGGAAGCATAAGAGATGAAAAATTAACAACGCCTTCGCCGGGAATCGAACCACGGACCTCTGGAATGCAGGCCCAGCGTGCTACCGTTACACCACGAAGGCACGCTAGGGAAGTGGGAGAAATACCTTATATATTTTCTTAAAATTTCATCAAAAAATCAATGGAAATTAAATTTATATGCTTCAAAAAATAAGTAAAGAGCGTTATACGGATTGCAGAGAAGCACATAAAGATTATCTACCCTAATGGAAAAGATATTTCCTGGAGAGCTGTTTTAAAAGAAACTGACTCATTATTGTACATGGGCAGAAACCGTGAAAACTCCCATGCAGATAGCCCGTTCCCCAAACTGCAAACTCTAGTTGAACGACCAGCGTTCAGCGATTGAGCAGCTCGATCGCTTGGAAAAAATACAATAAACATATATTGAAGTAAAAGCTCGTATAACTTTGATGAAATCACGTGAGATATGTAGTTGAAAAATATCAGTAAAACCAGAAGACATTTTAATGTTTTTTATTAAACAGACTCAAACAATAAGTCACACAAAGGAATTTTTCATACAAAAGTACCCATATACCTCGTCTCAGTATGGCAGAGCGCAATCTGTAGTTAACCAGTTCAAACAACTAAGAACGTTGAACACAAGACATTGTAAAGTACATAAAAAAGCGAAAAATATGTCAATGCTCTGAATTCTCAATACTCTGATCCAAACTGAAAATTGATACTCTCTCCGCTGTTATATAGCTCTTCCTCATCCGCTGAGAAATTTCCAGTACCTTCGATTTCTCGAAATTGCTGGAAAGCATTCACAGTTAGAGTTACATAGCGCCGGATACAGTTACATAGAGACTGGACCAAAATGTCGTCAAATTTTTGCAAGCTTGGCGGCTTTTAGCACAAAACTTAATCGACAAAACTATCATTAGCTTGCCTCCTCAATGTTAAATATACTTACACTCGGTAACCTTATTTTTCCAGCGATGCATCGCATTCTGTGGCCTTTCA